AGGACGAGGTGTCGTGGGAAGTTTCTGTGGAGTTAAGCCCCTGAGTTTCCCAGGTCCCCTCTCCCTCCGCCCGCCTGGGAAGGAGTCCAGCCATGTCTCCCCCGCTCCGTGTGTGCGCAGTCCGCCCGGCGCCTGGCTGGCTGGGCTGTGTCCCCCGCGCAGACCTTTGCATGTGGCGTCCGCATGGCGGGAGAGAGGAAGCAGGAGTCAAGGAAGAGGACCCAGAGAGTGAAAACCCCTTTGTCTGGGGAGGATGTGTTCCCACATTTCCATGGGCGTCATTGACTCCACCCTCGGGCCAGTTACCTTTGTTCCAGGCTAGATGGACAGGACGCACCTTCCCTACGTCACCCCAACTTCACTGTGCGTGCACCCATCTTCCCCTTTGTCCGGTTCCTCCCCCCAGCAATCTGCAGGGAGCGGGCAGTGGTTCCTGGGAGAGAAGGTACAGCTTCCTGGTGAAGCTGCCCCGATGGCCGTGCCCACATGTCTGGCCTCCCCGTTGCTCTCTTCCCCTCCTTCATATCAACACCTAGCGAAGGTCAGCGAGAGCACTGACCATAACTCTGCCACACGTGGGCCTTGGGGAATGTTTCTCTCTGTCACTGACTTTCCTGGTGAAACGAGGTGAACCTCCACTCGGGAGCAGGGGTGGACTCGGTGCACCGGACAGAATGCGCGCCCTGCACTGTCGCCTCCCTTTCCCTTTCAGCTTTCGCCAAGGCCCCGCCTGTTTCCCATAGTGGGGACCCAGGGTGCCAGGAGGCCTGGCTTTTCCATGCAGCTGTGGTCCTGGGGAGTTGTGTGCTCATGGGTTAAAGAAACTCCATAAACTAAGTCATATGTACAGTACGCGAGGAGTTGCATGTCTGAAGGGAATTCGTGGTGGTGTCTTCTGTAAACCACAGGCCACTGGTTGAGCTGCTGAGTGCAAGGCCATGGGAATGAAAGTGACTAGGACAGGAAGGTTTACAATCTAGGGGGGAAGAGACAGTGTAAAGGGTGACATAAGGAAAACAAACCCAAATACCCCAGTTATTAGTGTCTGTCGGGATAAACGATTATAGACTGATAGAGCTGTGTAACTACCACCCAAGTCAAGAGAGGGAATTTACCAGCACCCAGTCGCCCCCAGTACTCCTCCCCATTACCAACATGATGGCACCAATTTACACCCTTCTTCATGGAAGTAATAGTTGTAGTTGCCTCACCTCCTTGTCAGCACTTGATACTGTCAGTCTTTCACATTTTAGCCATCTTAGTGGACATGTGTCGGTATCTCATTGTGGTTTCAATCAGCACCAGATTCGATTTTATTTAATTTTTTTGGTTGATCTGCACCTGAGGATATTTCCCCACTGATTTTGAGAGAGAGTGGAAGGGAGGCGGAGTGACAGAGAGAGAAACATCGATGTGAGAGACACATTGATTGGTTGCTTCCCGTATGCCCCCTCACCAGGGCTGGGGATGGAGCCTGCAATCAAGGTAGGTAACCTTGACCGGAATCTAACCCAGAACCCTCCAGTCCACGGGCAGACGCTCTATCCCCGAGCAACACCGCGAGGGCACCAGATTTGATTTTAGAGAAACGAAGCCGTCGACATTCTCCTGCCTGGCGTTACGGAGAAACTCAGATGTGAATGTTGAATTTCCTAGCAGAAGAGTCTGTGGAGCGAGGGATGGAAAGGAGGTGAGCCCTCCCTCTGAGGGTCATCTGAGGGGAGGGCTGGGACCAGGTCCTGTCCGGGTTCTAGGATCCCAGGTGTGGCCCTGCACTCCCATCCCCACCACCCCTTCCCTGTCCTGGGGCCGGCCGCCTGCTGCCTCCCGTCCGTCTGTCTGTCTGTCTGTCCATGCCCAGCAAGGTCCCAGGTGTGCTCCGAGGGAGGCACCTGTCCAAGCCACTCGACCCAAACCCTGCTGCTTTCCTGGCCTTGAGTCCTGCCTTCTCGCTGTTGGTTATGCTGGATGGGAAACGCAGGCAAATGCTTTATTTTGGAAAAACGCCTGGGATGACTGACAAAAGGCAGCAGTGGATGCTGGGGGTGGGGGTGGGGTGGGGGGCAGGAACCGGTGGGCTGCCTGGTGGGCAGAGAGCTCCAGTTGTCAGTCATTTACCCCTCAGGGGTGGTGGCGGGGGCGGGGAGCTGGGAGGAAGGAATGGAAGTGTGTGCTGTGCTGAGCTTTCCTGGGGCAAAGCTGCAGAGCCAGAGGGGTGAGGAGGACACGGTGATCTGCCCCCAGGGGCTGCCCCCCCTCCAGATTTATGGGGCGACCTCATCGGGCCTTTCCCTGGGCAGGAAATGGGCTGTTTGCTAATGCCCTTCCCCTGCCCCACACACCTGCAAAAGCAAGTTGGTAGTATTTTAAAATCATTTACTAGAATGAAATGTCTGTGTTTTCCTTTGGATAGTTGCCCAGTAATTGGCTTTGTGCTTTTTGAATCAAGAAATGGCTTCAAATATATAGGACCTCAGATTTCAGTCTCTCTCTCTCACACACACACATACACACACACACATTCACACACACTCACATACATACACACACACTCACACTCACACACTCAGGTCTCCTCTAAGGTGAGAAACGGGTGAGGAAACCATAGGAAATGTGGGGCATGGCAGCTTTTTTAAATCCTAGAATCGTAGTTAAAGCTGACTGACTTGTCATTCCCCAGGGCTTCCTCTGCTTGTCCCCCCGCCCCCCCTCCGTGGCCGCCACGCACAGAGCACTGCCACTTCTGGTCACATTTGTCTACAATCGGTGTTTCCTGCAGAAGAAGGTGCCATGGTTGGCCTTGGCTCTTGGCCTTGGTTGAGCAGGTCCCCTCCAGGCCCTCGCCCTCCTCTGACCACGCAATGACAGCGGAGGCTCCCGGCTGACACCCAGCCCAGGGTCCCCCTGGCCACAGGGAGCTGCTGGGGGACCTGTCACTCCTTTCCCCCAGGGCAGCCAGGTGGTCCGACCGCGTGTGCCCAGCAGCAGCCCTCCGGGTTGATCGCTGTTCACCAGGCACAGGAGGGGAGGGCCCTGCTGATCAGTGACGGGCCCAGGTTTCTTCCGTCTTCAGGAAGGAGCTGAGCTTTCCTGGGCGAAGCTGCAGAGCACATACATGCACCCTCAGGGCACATCATGGGCACATGCGCGTGTGTATGTGCATGAGAGAGAGAGAGTGCGCGTGTGTGTGTGCATGAGAGAGAGTGTGTTAAGCCAGGATTCAGCACCTGTTGGGATGGGTGTTGCTCAAGCATTTTTTTTAAATTAATGTTTTCTATTGATTTTAGAGAGAGAAGAGGGAGAGGGAGGGAGAGAGACACATCCACGAGAGAGAAACGTGTGTGTGCATGAGTGTGTGTGCATGAGTGTGTATGTGCACGTGTGTATGTGAGCATGAGAGTGTGTGCGTGTGTGAGCATGAGTATGTGCGTGTATGCATGAGAGAGTGTGTGCCTGTGTGTGTGTGCATGAGAGAGGGAGTGTGTGTGTGCATGTGTGCGTTCATGTGTGAGCATTTACAGCTCTGACATGTGAGCTAGGTCACAGCCAGCAGGCATCCTCAGGGTCTTAAAGCAGCCAGACCTCACCTGTCCTCCCAGCGGTCCTCCTGCTAACAGGACAGTCAGCAGCCCTGGTACCTGCGCTGACGGGCAGCCCGTGACACCCTGTGGGGCCTGGGAGTGCTGCTCACGGCTCCTCGCCAGCGCCCCGGGGGCCAGGCCACCTGCACGGCTCATCCCCCCTCTGACCTGCCTCCGGCCTGGAGGGCCTGCTGCTAGGGGACTGTCTTTACTTGGTGACTTAGGGCGCGTGTCTCTACCCCAGGAAGCCCATGCTGCCTGCGGCCACGGGCTAAGCCAGGACTCGGCACCTGTTGGGATGGGTGTTGCTCGAGCATTTTTTTTTTTAAATTAATGTTTTCTATTGATTTTAGAGAGAGAAGAGGGAGAGGGAGAGAGAAACATCCATGAGAGAGAAACATCAACACGGATCGGCCACCTCCCGCATGCCCCCAGCTGGGGACCGAGCCCGAACCGGGCCTGTGCCCTGACCTCTTGGCACATGGGTTGACGCTCAGCCACTGAGCCACACCGGCCGGGCGTGTTTTGGATGAAGACGTGCCCGGGCTCCTGTGATGCTCCCGCCAGGCGTGGCCCTGCCCTCTCCTGGGCGATTCCCGGGCTTTCCGAGGCGGAGCCCCACGGTGCGCCCCGCTCCCAGCGCCTCCGCGAACGGAAGTGGAGACTATGCGTTTCAGAAACAACCACAGCCAACAGGTTTATTCCCGTCCTGCAGACAAATCCACGGACCAAACCCCACGGTGCTCTTGCCTCGGCTGCTTTCATGTCACCCACATAAATACATGGAATAAATACAAAGCCAGAAGGACCTCTGTAGTCTTTGGTATAAGAGCGTTTCTCCTCTCACTTCCCTCCTCCCTGGTTCCCGGCCCATCACGCCCACATGCTGCCTTTGGGCACAGAAGCAGCCCAGACGTGAACTTAGCGCCCGGGTCCTGGGTGCCGGGCCCCCTGGGCTCAGGGAGGCGCAGGCCCTGGGGTCTCACACGTAGTCGTTGAGCCGGTACCCGCTGTGTGAGGCCGAGGTGACCGAGGGCGCC